GACTCGCTGAAGGCGGTGCTAACATAAAGTTCCGGTGTTTGTTTACATTTCTTGCTGTATGCACAAAATCTGCAAAAGTACTGCCCTGCTTCGGGTTTTCAGAAAAACCGTCCGGGTTTCCCAAGTAACCGGGTTTTGTTTACATTTCTTGCTGTAAGCACAAAATGTGCTTAAATACTGTTTTGCTCCGGGTTTTCCAAATAACCGAAGACCATTAAAACGAAAAAGTACCGGGATTTTTAAATTTAATTCCTCATTTGCGATCAATATTGTGCTCCTGAAGACCGTTTTAAAGTACCAGGTTTTTCTGATAACCGAAGGCCATCAAAACAATATTATTGGGTTTTCCTGCTAACCGAAAACCATTAAAATGTAAAATACCGTTTTCTTTTATTTAATTCCCGATTGCAGAAAATTTGCTCAGCTTCGTCCATAGCTTCTGTAGTGTGGTGAAATATGAAAGAAAAAATCTACTGATGGGGCTTTAATACTGTGGGTGGTGAAATGGTGCGTCTTGAAGACTTTACTCATGACCCATAGAAAACTGCTGTCATCCTTGGTAGCAGCAGCAGCACCACCAGCAGTAGTAGTAGTAGTAGCAGTAGCATTATTGCGAAATACTCGTTCCTATGTCACGTTCTACTCATATTTGTAACTGACTTACCTGTAGGAATATTTTAATGTTACATCAGTCATGGATGAATAGGTTCAGGGAAGGAGCATACACAGACAGCAATGAGATCTCATAACCCTGTTTTAAAGGAAGAAAGTTGTGACATGAGCTGATAAAATATTCTTGGGCTATCAGCCATGTCTGATGATAGGGAGAGAGATGGTCCCTGCGACACCAATGATACTTAACCAACTGATATGGCTGAAAGCCAGAGGAGATTTCATCCACTGTAGCTGCCATGAAAGCTTCAAATCTTATGTTTAATGTGAGGTTTACACTGTAGATAAACGGTAAAGTAGGGTAATTTTATTTCAGATGTACACAGTATTTGTTACATGCCACAGAAATTTCAAAATGTGACTACCCATACATGAATAGACAGCTTATAGCATTTTCTTTTTCTAAACTGCTATCAGAAACTGGCACTTTTGATATAATATCACTGTTAGAGACAGAAGTTATGGCTGCCATAGGTATTCTGTGTTCCACGTAGTGATGTGATACAATGGCAAGTGCGCTCTGTACGCAGGACACCACTGGAGATTAAGCAACAAATATTTAAATATGGATTCCAATTTCACAACGTGGGATACTATTTCATTGGGAAGTGTATGTATTCTCCTGGTGACAGAGCTTGTACAAGGGCATGCTGAAAGTAATGACTCCCAATTTCTTTTCCATAACAGCAATTTCATTGAAACAGAAATGGCTATCTTCCTTTAACTTTTTTTTTATTGCTAGTGGGGTGGGACTAAGTCCCTTGTAGTGTGGCCACTTCTGGCCTATTGTACCAGCCCAAGATGATAGGTGAGGGTGATTGTGGAGCAATTGGTGGAATGAAGATCGGCAGGGAAAACCGAAGTAGTCGGAGAAAACCTGCCCCAGTGCCACTTTGTTCTCCACAAATCCCACTTGATCAGACCCGAGATCAAAGCGGACCGCCGCGGTGGGAAGCCAGCAACTAACTGCTTGAGCTATAGCGTGGCCTTCCTTGAACTTTGTTCCCTTTTTATACAATTACTCCTCAAACAACCACTTCAGTAGTCCAGCCACAGCTGACAAATTTCATGTACAGGTATTCATCAATTAATGCATTAGGTGTATTCCCAAAAGGAGTCAGAGGGGGTGCAATGACATAATTGACATCAGGTAGGCCGAACTTTCTCTTCTCCCCTGCATTCCTCCTCCACACCTGCACAGCATTCTAATTCCCCTTCTTCTGACCTCTCTTGATGGGCCAGCAATTAGTTCATACTAAAGCAAGCGTTACAGGTCTAAATTAATTGACTGCATTAAAATGAAACATGTTTCCAAACTCCATATACCAAGGAGTACCTGTACTTCTGTAAGTTTAGCAGGACAGAACTACATTTTCACCACTGTCTTATGTAGGCATTACTTTCAGCATACCTTTCCAGGATGAATGTTGCTAATACCAAAGCCCACCAGTGGACACATCATGATCCACAGTCTTATACCCAGTTTTGTCATGATATGGTTCGATATCTTCCTTCCACCACTTTTGCTTTGCCAAGTGGATGCTTTCCAAAATGTTCCAACAAAAATATTGCATGTATTTGTGTTCAATTATTTATTGGAGTCTGTCATAACACAACAACATAACGGTCAAGGTTAAAATTACCCAGCTATACTCGTATGTGTCTGCTTTTTAAAGCCATCATCAGGCAAAACACATGATTAATATATTGTGACATGTTGAGCTATGGATCGCCCCTACCTCCCCAGCGGTACGTGGCGGTAACGTAACGCTCGCGTTACTACGGTAATAGGCGAGTTCCTGCCCCGCCACTCCCCTCCGCGGTGACGTAACGCGCAACGCTACGTACCTGTAATCAACTTCCTACTGTGACGTGGCACTCATTACACAACCGGCAAGCACTGCAGCTATATAAGTGAGCTGCACAGCAGGTACCAGTCAGTTCTCCTGTAGCAGTCGGCGACGTCAGTTGTAACCTGGCACAATTAGTAATCATGTTCTTTGCCTGATGATGGCTTTAAAAAGCCAAAACATGTAGCTAGGTAATTTTAACCTTGACCGTTATGATGCTGCATTGCGGGACTCCAATAAAGAATTGTATATAATAACACAACAGGATGCACAGAAATGAAAAGTATTTGTGTTCGCAAGTCCTTGATGTAACTTTCCTGACAAAACTGGAAAGCTGTATAATCATCAAGTTCCTTGGTGGGATCGTTGTGTGCTATAACACTGTGTTGTAGTCTGGCAAGCAGATACCAGGGTTCTGGTGAAACACACCACACTGCAGTCTGATAGGTGGATACTAACATTTAGGTGGAATGTATGCCTTCATCTTTAGGATGACTCCAGATATCAGACATTTAGATTACGTATGTACAGATGTTTGCAGTCACAATATGAAATCAGGCTATCCACAAACAGCAGTTTCATTTGGCAGATGATACGGGATATGATACTGTGCAGGTTGGTAGAAGTTTAATGACATTTCAGAGGAACTCAATGCCTTCAGCTTCAATTTTCCATCCTGAAGATAGAGGAAGTATATTTGTCTGCAGTGTTGGTTAAAACAAATTACAGATCATTACATTTCAGAAGACTTGTCCTCAATAATACTGCAGATGTGACAGGATGTATGCAGTAGAAGTCTACCCTTACAAAGGTGGCAGTACATTCCTCCAAAATGTTGGCAGACTCCTACCCACCTACACAGCGTCACTTTCAACTTCCTCATGATCACTGCCATGAATATCTCAAATCTCTCATGGAACACTGGTACTTGTATGTCACTGTACTTCCATTTATGAACAAGAAATATTGACACACTACAACCATACAGTAATTGTGCTGTACTGAATAAACTGAACTGTGATCAGTACAGATGAATTACATTACATAATGAAATCAATTCTCAGAGCGTTGTTTGAACAAGTCTTCATCACAGTAGTGGGTCTGTTAGGAAATCTGTACAAATTAATAAGAAATGGCAAGTCTACCACTGCAACCATTTAAAGCTACTGGGCTGACGCTTCAGTGGCCCTGCCTGGGCTCAAACTGCACATGGTCACCTCACGTTTACAGTGAAACTCTGAGTGCATACAAACATATCATGAAATTTAAGCATTTTTATATCATTTTTCCTAAAGATGATATACATTTAAATACTACACCAAGTAAAACTATTTTATTGTACCTTTCTCAACAGGATACTGACCAATAAAGAAACAAAATCTTCAGTTTCTTTTGATAGGTGTGTCATACCTTCTGTTTGAAAACCATTTACTTAAAATTATTTACCTATGGTAAGGACGGATAGTAATGACCATTAAATAACCATAAGCAGACTGCTTTGAGTGAGAATGTTACAAACTAAAATCAGCTCCATACATAATTCCAACCTTGCAAGTAACCACACTAACTGAACAACATATTCTGCATGCACGTAACAGAGTAGGTGTACATCTTTTAAATTATAATCCCTATTTCATGAAGAAATACACAAACGTAACAACTTTTGTAATAGTGACTTCAAGTTAATTTCTATTAAAAAAGACTAAAACATACTGAAACTAAGTAGTTACTATAAGATTCTGACGATGGTGTATAACACACTGATATGTTGGGTTTTCGGACTTTATCCATCGTCCTGGTTTTTAAGATAACAAATAAAAACACGACGTTTCGGAAACTGGATCTGTTTCCATCCTCAGGTGAAGGAAAACACCTATTCAGTTGGGTCCCTTAGAAAGAGCTAGCCTCAATCACTGGACCAGTGATGGATGGACCAGGACGATGGATAAAGTCCAAAAACCCAACATATCAGTGCATACTGAAACTGTCTGAAATAATTAGGTGGCTGGAATATATGTCACTGAGGATATCAACTTACAGTTATACATTACTGATATCAAGAAAAATGTAAGTTTGAGAACACCTGTAGTCTGTCTGTGTACCTTCTTAAGTGAAGATTAGTAACACATCAGGATTACAATTCAGACTGCAGATAATGTTCAGCATTGACTTATATATTCATTTTGGGTTCAAATCATTATCACCACATCCAAGAAGATGCCTTAAGATCAGTCTTATACAGTTTCATGACCTGATATTATTGGCCAGGTCTATGTGTCTTTCAAGTTTTCGTATACCTACAGAAGACTCTTGATCATCTGCATGTGGATTAAACACAGGACTTTTATAACCACATATAAAATTTGTAACCACCACCCAGTGGGACTGATAAAAGTTGTTTTTTAATTTTTCATCCTTTACATGTTTCAGTCAAAACGACCATCTTCAGAAGGATATTATCAACACATATGTAAACTACTGTTACATGTCATAGATATATATGTTATATCATTTAACTAATATTAAGATGTACATTGATTTGTTAAAACATCTATAATTATTACAAAAGTGTAAGGAAAAGAAACCAAATTGGCTCTACTTTAAAACAAATACTGAACATTATTTTGTAAACAGACTAACTGTAATTTTTAGATGTTTTAACAAATCAATGTACATCTTAATAATAGTTAAGATATAACATATACATGTATGACATGTAACAGTAGTTTCCATACGTGTTGATAATACCCTTCTGAAGATGGTAGTTTTGACCGAAACATGTAAAGGATGAAAAACTAAAAACAACTTTTATCAATCACACTCAATAGTGGTTAAAAACCTTATATACAGTTACCAGTGTGGCAGACCAGGATGAACCAAGTTACTTTTATAACCCATTACAAAAGTTTCAGTGATATATCAGTGGTGCTTTACAATGATTTGCAGTAGACTGTACATCTTCTGATTCTGTTGCTTGTATAATTTTACAGCTTTTCATACTGGCCTACAAATGAACAAGGGTTTCTTTCTTCCCTTGGAAAGATATAATATTGCTATTGCAATCAAGAAAGGCCAAATGTAATTACTGATTAATGTCCAATTTAGCTTAGAGGCTGTTCATCCGGCTCAAGTCCTATAAGCAAGCAACTAATCACTAGAAATTGTACTTTTCAGCTTACAGGTGCCAAGAGGTTACCTAAGGAAGCAGGAGAACCACTGTACTCATTTTAATGTGACATGAACTCTGTGGCCTTCCTTCCAGTACACATAGGCCATGTCAGCAGCTGCAAGCTGTGTCTCATTTAAAAAAAAAGGGAGATGATATTCCAGACAGTAAAAAACAATAAAACATAAGTCCATGCCACAGTTCAGAGTTGGTGCCAGCATATTTCATGAAGAATTTGCAGTTTTGTTTTTGAGATGGTTGCTCTGAAAAAGAAAGAAATAAAGAAAATGTAGTAATGCTCATGTTAAAACTGAAGATCTCACAAAAACCTCACATGGTGGTTTTCGTCTTGAAAATGAAATTTCATATTCTGCATCAAATACAGAAATTTTTAGTAAAGCTCCACAGTGCCAAGGAGGAAAGTCTTAGTAATCAATCCATCAATAAAATGACACTTTATAGTTTACAGTCTACAAATTATAACAAGACAAGTGACATGCTCAGAGAAAAACAAATATTTATTTTGCAGCAGTATAATCACCATATGGCATTACTGACATTACTATATGGCTTCCCATCTACTCAGCCTTTAAGTTAAAGCTATGAATTATTGTTATTCGCAATGTCAAGATTAGACAAATTTTGAATTGAGTTCACTAGTTTCATCTCGTAATCTGTGATCTCATGTCTAAGTCTGTCAGTTAATGAACAGATTTTTTTTTAATTAGAACTGGTTGTTCTTTACAATGAATGCAGACAAAAAGCACCTCATGTTTGTTTACCACCACTAAGGACCACAAATGGAGACTGCATTTCTTTCTGCTTCTGCTGCAAGAGGCTAAGCGTTCCGAGTGGGTGTCTGTTGAGCTCATCTGTTTCATCAACTGGAAACAAAAAAAATTAATAACCTTCAGATGGGGCAGTCTGTTTGCCCTTAAACATTCTGTAATATCTGCAGCTCCTGTCACTGATTATCCTAACAGCTGGCAAACTTTAAGTTAGTCTGCTGCTTGAAGTCATCAATTTCTCCCAATTTCCAACCCATGGTCTGTGTCTATGTCTACTAGCCTAATGACAATTGAACAAATATGATGTGTGTTTCATGAGGAGGCTCCATCTGACTTGCCACACAGTTGCAGTATTCGCTTGTCCCAGGACTCAAGCTACTGTGTAGTCAGCAGAAAATGAATGCACAAAAAGTGTGGATGGATATCTATCTGCTATGTGGAATTGTGGACATGTAACGATAACTAAACGTTACTTCCTTATGGAGCACCATTTAGAAATAGCATCAGATGGTTTCAGAGTCTCATGTGCAGCATGTCCTTGTATAGAACTTTCTAGAAGTTATTCAGTACATGTTTCAACCTATAAGGTCATCAGTAGGTGTTTTAAATTGTAAATTATAAATGAGGAAACTGCTGTGCTTCCATATTGTGGTTGCTGGTCATCACTATGCGCATGTATATACAAAGTGGCTGGGTGCTCTGCCTGTTGTGTTATGCAGTGCAAGAGGGACACGCAGCACAACACCACAGGCAGAACAACCCTCCACTTCATATATACATGCGTCTAGAAGGGACCGCATAGTGATGATAAACAACCACAATATGGAAGCACAGCAGTTTCCTCATTTATAATTTTAAAACACCTGATAATGACCTTTTAGGTCTAAACATGTAGTTAATAACTTTTAGGAAATTTTATAGAAGGACATTCTGCATGTGAGACTGTGAATAATTTGGCACTAAATGAAGTGCAGCAGGGTGCTACAATATACTAAAAGTAAAGTTTAGGTATCCCTGTAACAGGCCGTGGAGGCCCATAGGGGTGTGAGATGTTGAGGTACCCACATTTTCTAGACAATCGGCTCACAGATGGCGGCAAGGTTGTCAGCCCTATGCGCCGGCCGCCCTTTACCCCCAAGAATATTCCTGGTACTCATTTCTATTAGAGGCTGAGTTGACCCCAGGGACATAGTGTGGCTGGAAGGATTAGGTCAATTGAAAAAATCCAATGACTTCATCAGGACTTGAACCCATGACCTTCCAGCTTGTATTAGAAATACGAGCTCGTGACCAGATCTGGACCGATACTCACTCCTTCCTGTTCAGTTTTCTTCATTCGTTTCTCCACTTTATTTTTGTCACGTCCCTTTCCGTGAAATTCATGAGACAGGTATCTGAAATTAGAAACAGAGACAACATTAAAGTTACTGTATTTTAGGATCTTACAGAATGTGGCCATGTTTCCAAGTAACACGTAAAATCCTTCCATCCTGAAGTTTCAGCCAGAAAAAAGGTTATCATCCATATATAGTTCAATCTGTTATTTTGTGAAATAATAAAAATTCAAGCAAGTGTGACAACGGAAGCGTCACTGCTTAGCAACGACGAGTAAACAGCAGTTGCTAAGCAATGACGCTTGCGTTGTCACACTTGCTTGAATGTGGGCAGT